ACACACACACACACACACACACACACACACACACACACACACACACACACACACACACACACACACACACACACACACACACACACACACACACACACACACACACACACACACACACACACACACACACACACACACACACACACACACACACACACACACACACACACACACACACACACACACACACACACACACACACACACACACACACACACACACACACGCGCGCGCGCGCACCGGGCCTTGCACTTTTAATGCCGTGGGGCTCCCTGGAGTCATGCACTCTCTCATGCTCTCGGGTGTCGGAGATACTAACAACACGATACGATTCACCATATCTATCCCAGCATGGACGGGGCGCGCGCACTGCATAGCCCTCTGAAGAGGCGTTCCCAACTCACACCAAAACCACAGCGCCGCCCGACGACGCCGCCGGCGCCGCGGTCGCCCCCGCCGCGCTAGCGGCCGCCTCTTTGGACTCCTTGGGAAAGAGGGGCGCTTTGCAGAGGGGGCACCCCGCCGCCTTGCCGCGGAAGACAAGCCATTGCTCTATGCAGCCAGCATGGAACTCGTGGCCGCATGGGAGCACAGTGAGCGGCTCCTCCACGCTGCCCTCCTCCATGCAGATGCAGCAGAACCCGAGGGAAGAGCCGCTCGCCAGAGCGCACCGCCCCTCTTCGAGACTCCGCTGCCGCAGCCCGCTCGCCGCCTCCGACGCCCACTCACGCCGCGCCCGCTTGCGTGCCTCGGCATCTTGGTTCTCGAGGTGCCTATCGAGAGAGGCCTCCGCTTGCGTCACGGTGTTCCGTGCGGATGGTCCCTCCCGCAGCAGACCCGCACGTCTGCACCATCGCGATTGGCACCTGAGGGCGAGGGCGGGGACCGTGAGAGATCACGAGCCGCGAGTGGCTGGATGTGGTTGCAGCTGCGCACCAGCAGCACGATGCACAGCCAGAGCAGGGCAAAGGCGACCGCCGCCGCGTGAGGAGAAGTGTGATGTATTTGCGCGTGCGTCGGATGTCCGTGCGTCGGCCGCGGCGGCGCATACGCCTGTGCACTGGCTGGCAGAACAACAACTAGAGTTGCCTCGTGCTCCACCGGGTCCACGTTGGCCAGCGCGGTTCCGACGCACAGCCACAGGAGGGCATTGATGTTCGCCCCACGGTGCATTGACAGGGTCGGAGGCGACCGTGTACGGGCGATGTGGCCGTGCGCGTGGGTACTGCAGGCGTGGAGGTGAATTGGCGCACGGGGCGCAGGTGGGCGAGTGGAAGCGTACGCACGTCCGGCGGGCACGTTCAGCCGCCGCTTTCGACAAGGAGCGCGTGCCCACCCTTGCCGATTTGGGTACCCCGTCCATACCGTGGACTGCGCGCAATCGGCTCCCGGGGAAAACTCTTTTTAAAACGTGTCTGCCCAGCCCATACGTAGAGAGTGTTATGCCCCCTTTTGCCCCACCAGCACCACTTGTGTGTGTCGGGAGAGACCTTACCTCTTTGCCAAACAAAGCCTTTGCTTACCTTAGAGCCATATATGCAGTGCAGTTGGCGACGGTATATCATTTCCCACCACCTCACACGCACGCCGTCGAGACGGCGGAGGGGATCACTAACTATGCCACGTCGCCCATCCTGGCATCCTGGCCCAGGATGTGGGCGACGTGGGTCGTGGCGTAGTGGGAAATGATATACGTACCGTCGCCAACTGCAAAACCACACTGGGTCGCCAATTCGAACGCCCCAGTCCGACGGCCGAAAAAAGAATCCTGGCACCGATCGACCGCATCCCGGCCGGTAACCAAACCGGACACATGTTCCGCGACCCGGGCGGGAGCGTGCCGGGAGAGTGTGCGAGTGTGGTTCTGCAGACTGCAGTAAGCGACGTGGCATAGATAGTGGGAAAATGATATACCGTCGCCAACTGCATGGCATTGGAGCATGCAGGATTTTGGAAAATCGAAGCGCTCAACTACGGCAGCCAGACGCCCAGACCCCTAACTAACCGAAAACGGAAAACATCCTCACAGCGGCCCGTGCACACTCACTCCGGCGCGGCGCCGGCGATCGCGCATTTTCGTCTCTCAGACGTCGTCGTCCTCGCACTCCTGCCTCGAGCTCCGCGCCTCGCCCGCCTCCCGCTCGCGCTCGGCGAGGAAGGCGTAGGTGGACCACTGGCGCAGCGAGAAGGCGAGGCTCGCCTGTCCACAGACCTTGTTGTTGAGAAGAAAATGCCGCGTGTGCCGCTGCGCGCTGGTCTATGAGAGGTTGAGGTGCGAGCCCTGGAGGCCCTGGGGATGGGGGGGGTAGTGGGGGGGAGGAGGGGCAGACCGGAGTAAGCCCCGCGCGGTCAGTGGCGAGCACGTCGGCGCCTAATCTCGGGTAATCTCGGGTAATCTCGGGTAATCTCGGGTGGTCTCGCTGGCGAGCACGTCGGCGCCCGCGGCCACCAGCAGCGCCGCGCAGTGCGAGTTCCCGCGCGCCGCCGCCCAGTGCAGCGGTGTGCGGTCGCCGTCGCAGTCGCGCTGGCTCGGGATGCGGCGCGGCTGGCGCTCGATCTCGGAGATCTCGCGCTTGATCTCGGAGATCTCGCGCTTGAGCTGCGTCGGCTGGTTGAGCGCGGCGTGCAGGCTCAGCGGCGAGACGCCCTCGTAGACCTGACCCGAGATCACCCGAGATCACCCGAGATCACCCGAGATCACCAGAGATCACCCGAGATCACCCGAGTTCGGTCTGAGGAGTCGATGGGTCGTAAGGCGGAGGGTTGGGAAGCTCTTCAAAAGGTGCGCCTGTTTCTCGTCAGCGGCGGGCGGCCCCCGCTCGATCCTGAAGGCGCCGCCGGTCCGAGATTACCCGAGATTACCCGAGATTACCCGAGAGAGCCGTAGGCCCCCGCTCGATCCTGAAGGCGCCGCCGGTCCGAGATTACCCGAGATTACCCGAGATTACCCGAGATTACCCGAGATTACCCGAGAGAGCCGTAGGCCCCCGCTCGATCCTGAAGGCGCCGCCGGTCCGAGATTACCCGAGATTACCCGAGATTACCCGAGAGTGCCGTAGGCCCCCGCTCGATCCTGAAGGCCAGCGCCTCATAGCCCGCCGCCTAGAGCAATCTCGGGCAATCTCGGGCAATGAGGCAAGGGTAAGGTAAGGTGGGCAGCCCTCGCGACTCCACGTGGAAAAAGATAGGAGGCGCACGGCATTTCAAAGTGCAACGCCCGGTGGGTGAGCGGTGTGTGTGTGTGCGGGTGTGTGTGTGTGTGTGTGTGTGTGTGTGTGTGTGTGTGTGTGTGTGTGTGTGTGTGTGTGTGTGTGTGTGTGCGGTGTGTGTGTGTGTGTGTGTGTGCGTGTGTGTGTGGTTGTGTGTGTGTGTGTGTGTGGTTGTGTGTATGTGCCCGCCGCCGCCTTGGCCAGCGCTGCGGCGGTGCGGCCAGCGGCGTCCGTCAGCTCCGGGTCAGCGCCCGCCGCGAGCAGCTTCTTGACGCAGCCTGTTCACAGCTACAGGTGTGAACAGCGTCTCTTCACACCTCAGCGCCCGCCGCGAGCAGCTTCTTGACGGAGCCACCTGCGTGCCCGCGCGCCGCGCACCTACATGCTACTCCGCCAGACCTTAGGGCGGGGGGGCGGGCTTCTGCGTGCCAGTGCAGCGGCGTGGCCAATGCAGCGGCGTGCGGTCGCCGTCGCGGTCGCGCTGGTTCGGCAGAGCGCTGGGGCACCTACATGCTGAGTGCACCACCCTCACGGCGGGGGCACGGTAGCGGCGGCGGCACGTCTTCGCTCCCGGGAAGCCCCGCGCATCGGGGAGCAGCGTCTGTCCCACACACGCACAGGCGCACACGCACACATGCATGGCTCGGGCACCCCCCCGCGTTGTCGTGGTGTGAGCACGGTACGGTGCGGTGTATTCTTCAGAGCACCGCGTGCACTCTGCTAGTACTTGTGTGCTCACCACCACGACTACACTGTGGGGGGTGCCCGAGCATGGTGTCTGTGCGCGCCTGTGCGTGTGTGGGACAGACGTTGTTGTCCTCTGCGCGGGGCTTCCCGCGGGGACCGAAGACGTAACAGCAGCAGCAGAACCACCACCACCGCGTGCATTCCGCTTCTAGGCGCGCGCACTTGAGCGCCTCGCCGAGCCGCTGGTGGTGGCCCAACGCGGCAAAGAGGGAGAGGCCCCGCTGTCCGCACGCAATTCGCTTCGCGTCCGGGACGGGTAGGGGCGCATAGACGGTGACGGGCGAGGAGGACCTGCGCACAGCGACGGCGGAGTGATGCTTTCGGCGGCGAGCGACTGCGGGGCAGGAGAGCGAGGCTGCCTCCACGGCGCAAGCAACGCGGAGCGGACCGTGAAGCTGGGCTCGGCCCAAGGGTACTCGATGACCTGCCGGCGCCAAGAGTACTCTGTGGTGCACGACGAACCCGAGTCTGAGTCGCTCTGTACGGAGCAGCTCCTCTCCCGTGCCGAGAGCACCATCGAGGTGGCCTGGTCATTGGCGATAGAGCCGTCGCCTGGCCGAGCCGCAAGCGAGGCGAGCGAGCCGACGTCCGCCAGCGCGGTTGGCCGCATGGCAGGCAGAGAGCGGCGAGGGACGCTACGCTCGTGAAGGCGCCCGGGGGACGGCGAAGGCGCCTGGGCTGAACCCGGCGCCGAGATACCTGGAAGGCTGCACCCCTTTCCCCCTTTTTTCAGCAACTCTTCTCTGAGTGTCGATGTTGTCTGAACGGACTCGTGAGGGGCGCCTGCCAACCTCATTCGTCGAAGCGGCGCTTCGCTTCGCAACGACCCCGCCGCATTCGTCGCCGGCGCGCGACAGGCTCCCGTCGGCCGGACTGCCCTCGACGAGTGGGTGTCGCCAACCAAGGCGACACGCACTCGAGGGTAGTGCCAACGGGACGCGGCTCGAAGGGCGTGGCTCCGCAGCGGCCAGCGCGACTGGCACTCGTCGCAGAGGCCTCGCATTCGACAAGTCGGGAACGGCTCTACCCGCAACTTTATCGCTAACACGCGCGCACCGCCGAGCCTGCGGCGGGCGCGCTGCAGCCGCACGTCTACCTTCGTCATAGTGCCACGACGTGCGGCCTAGAATTAGCACACGTGCCTCTGCTTGCATACACTCATACATTGGATTGTCATTGCCTGTGAGTGCGAGATAGGGCTGGCCGCTGGCGGCTAGCCCCTGAGGAGAGTGACCAGAGACACCTCACATGACCCCACACACGGTCTCGTCCGGCCTCGCGGTCGGCGGAGATTGCTAGAGGACGAGCAAGCCTGCTCTAGCCTCGCATATTACCTCCTGTCGTCTGTTGTGATGTTGTGCCCTTGTTTGTTTCTCTTGGCACCTTGGAGTGCTGGGGGGGGCGACAGGAGGAATGTGGCCCTGAGTTATGTGTACGCCAACTCAGGGTGTGTGGCAGCCAGCTGGCTGTGTGTCTTGTGAGCTTGTTTGTGTCTGTGTGTCGCTCGTGCGTGTCGTCATCATCTGTCCCGCGTCCACCCATACCGCGTTGGTGTCCAGTCCGAGCCTGGCTGTTCTTCACCTTTCTACCTACCTACCTCGATGTGTGTGTGTGTGTGTGTGTGTGTGTGTGTGTGTGTGTGTGTGTGTGTGTGTGTGTGTGTGTGTGTGTGTGTGTGTGTCACGTCACTGCATCCTCTGCCGGTTCCTCCCGTCGCCTCTTCTTTGTTCGAATGTATTTCAATCCATCCTTCACGAAGCCCTCCCATGTAGCTAGCGTTCTTTGCGAATGTCTCGAGATGGCCAGCAGGCGCTGTCTGCTCGCGGCCTGTGCGGGCCGCCCGTCCTCCTCGCCCTTCTTTCGTCCTCCCGTCCCTCCCCTCCACCATGGCCTAAGATGGTTGTCCGCTGACCGCTCGACGTGTGCGCGACCCACGCGTATCGCCCGGTGACACGCGAGTGAACTCTCGAGCGACGCGGCTCGAGCCTCGAGCGCAGGGACCTGGGGTCTACGTACTACGAAATTACTCCTCGCACGCACGGGGCACACGGGCAGGCATTCGAACACAGGGGAGGACGCGGAGCAGCTGATGCACAGACACCGATGGCGCAAACTCTAGGAAGAGGTATAGACTGTTAAGCTCCCTGCCGTCGCGCTCAGGAGAGCGTCCGGACAGTGCCGCTGCCGATGACTCGGATGTGTGCCGCGTCGCGCCCGAGCACCGACCGGAAGAGGTCAGAACGTGGCCGGCGCGCTTCCGTGGCCTGTGCAACTGGGCGGCCGGCGAGGTCGACCACGTCGTGGTTCTCTTCGTCGTCAAGGCACTTCTGGTACTCGAGGCTGTCCATGAGCTCGGTGATCCGCCCCGAGCCTCGGCTGGTCCGCGTGCTCGTGCGCCTCCCATCGTGACTGCACAGGCAGCGAGTCAGGGCGGCGGCGAAGCTTCCGCACGGCGTGAGGAGGAGGCCGCTGCGATCGGTCGCGGAGATGCGGCCCGACTCACCATCGGCAGCGAAGTGGACGCCCTTCCCTGCCCTCGTTTTGGGCGGGCTGAAATGCTGACCAGCGCCCTCCGACGACGGCACCACCGCGGCCTCCTGCTTCGAGCGGAAGCGGGCGTACGCGACGGTGGCCGCGACGGGAGGAACGAAGAGGACCGCGCCGTGCGCGGCGGCGGCGCCGGCGCCGACGGCCGCCATCACGACGGGGGCTGGCATCCTGTGCACAGCACTTGTGGTACCTGCTGAGATATCAAGGGAGAGGCCGCCCCGCTGTCGTGAACGCGTCCCGAGCAAGGGTGCAGCATTGAATTCTTTTTTTCGGTTTATTCTTTTTTTGATAAATTCTTTTTTAGAGCGCCTTCGTTGTTAAACAAACCCGTATCGCAGTCACACTCGTCGCAGTCACAATCTCTCTCTCACACGCACACGCCGTTCAGCACCGCTCGCCCAGCCACCGCCCCGCCCCAGGCGGGAAAGAGATTGTTTTTGAGAGCGCCTTCGTTGTTAATAACTAATAATACAGACGGATGGACACTTGCTGCAGCCACATGACATGCACACACCCGCACCGCACCGCACCCCGCACCCGCGCCCCGCCTCGCCTGAGTTGGAAGGAGATGAGAAGATGGAACAGCCCGAGGGAGAAGCGGAACAAAATACGTATGGGAGGTTGAAGTCGTGCACCACGCTGCCCGCCCGGCCAAAGGATATCGTGTGTGTACACACACAAAGGATATCCACCTCGAGAACCTCGATCGAGAGAGGGGAGAGAGAGAGATTTTTAGCAAGTTGTTTGTTTTGAGAGATTTTTAGCAATACCAAACAACTCTAACACTCACACGTAATTTGGGGCCTGGAGCCCTGTTCACGCGCGCGCGAGACGTGCAGACAGGGTTGCCAGGTGAGAGCGAATGGCGCGGTTCACGCCTCGCACAACAGAGAGAGAGATGCGCTCTGCATGGTGGGACATAAAAGAGAGCGAGTACTTGGGCGAGTAGGCCGTGCGGTCAACGCTGCCGCGCGCGACTTTGCGCGCGAGGCGGCGCAGCTTGAGAACGGCGGTGGGCGAGAAGCCGCCGCCGAACGTCTCGTGGAGCAGCAGGTTGAAGTTGTTGCGCTTGACAAAGATCGCGTCGTGGTAGAAACCGCGATGCGCCTTGACGTAGCCGTGGCCGGTCTTGTGGTCGAAGGGTTGGCCGGGCTGCCCGCGCGCCTTGCAGCCCATGTTTAGGCGGCGGGCCTTTTCTTCGGTGTTGCCGAAGGCGTAGGAGTGGCCAACGGAGGCGGGCGTGCCGCCACTCGAGGCGTTGCCAACGCCCGGCGAGGAGGTCTTGAGGAGGGGCGTCCAGAGCTTGATTTGTTGAGAGGGGTGATCCCCCGAGGGGTGCCCCGTGTGTGTGTGTGTGAGTATTCTTGATACGAAACCACGACGACACACACCAGTCGACTCGCATCGGTTGCCTCCACTCACACTCGTGTGTGCTGGCGTCCGGGTCCCAGCGGGTTTTCACGTAACAAGTACACACACTCATAGGGGTGCCCCAACCCTGGCCTGCCCTCGACTGCTCACTCAGTCTCGCGCGAGCACAGGACACTGCGTCTCCGCCCATTTCTGGTGCCCTGCAAACCAGCACGGTGACCCACGATGCCGGGGCAGGACGGTGGACCGCGACGAGGCTCGGTCCGGTGGTTGATTGTGCGCTCCCTGCTACGAGTCGACGACTTGGACCGTCAGAATCTGGTCAACGAGGTCATGGCGGACTCGGAGCTGGAGCGTCAGTCGGCGGTCACGGCTCTGTCTAGAGAGGTGTGCCCGCCGCCTCTACCTGCACTGCCACCGTCGCGCGCCGCCCGTCTCATAGCTTTTGCCGATGTGGTCGTGTGGGGTAATATTGGCGGCGTGCGAGCGCAAATTGTGTAAGCTCGGGCGGTGTGGTGGTTGGGCTGCGCGACGGTCATCGACCCGCGGCCGCGGCGCCTCTCGGATGCCACCCGAACGCTCGCTAACCGCGCCGCCCGTCGCTTGCGCAGGCATCCTACCCACAGCCGCTGTGGCGGCAGAGCGGAAACGCCTACTCGCTGACGGCGGCGGGCGAGGCGATGCGTGCCGAGATCGACGGCGCGCCGGTCAAGTACGCCGGCTGGGACGCCTACTGCGACGCGTGCGGCCGCGGCGAGTCGGAGGAGGGCAACGAGATTCTCCTCTGCGACGGCGACGGCTGCGGCGTGTGCCACGCCCGACTCTGCCCGGGCCTCCCGACACGCGCGCAGCCACGCACCGCAGCTGACACGCACACACGCGCAAGAGCACCGCACACCGCCGGCAGCGCACCCCTCTGCTTCCGTCGCCGCACGACCGCCGCCGCCTCGCTGGTCGCGGTCTGGCCCGCCGCCTGCCTCCGCCACCGCCACCGCTCTCGCTCTCGCCATCTCCTCACCGCGCGTGCCTCGCGCCTTGTGCGTGGGAAGGGGTAGGGGGGGGGGGGGGCGGAACTCTCCCCAAGAGCGCCACTCTTGGAGCGCCGCCGCCGCCACCCAGAGCTGCCTGCGAGCAGCGCCGGGCGAGGACGGGAGGGCGGCACACCCCGCCCGCCCACCTCCCC